ACTTTTGTAGTATGTGTTTCTTTTAATGTTGTATGCCGCCTTGAGTCCTTGGGAGAAGGGCAGCATATAAATCGAATAAACCTAAGATCTTGGCCTGACAGTGGAGACCCTGCAGAGGTATGGGTTCTCCGTAAACTTCCAGAAGAGCCACATGCGACCTTCTACCAGACTGTTGCATTTGGGAGTGATCATAGATTCCGCCTCCGGCATGGTGTTCCTGTCCCAGGATCACAGGGCTAGTCTAGTGAAGCTAGTCAACCAATTGCAGAGAGAACGGCGTTTGCCCATAGTCACCTTGTCTCTGTTGTTGGGGAAGATGATTTCATGTATAGATCTTGTTCCCTGGGCAAGGCTTCATGCTAGAACTCTCCAGTGGTTCTTGCTCCCGTACCAAAGGAGCAAGTGCAGCGCCTCTTCTTTTCAGGTTCGAGGACCCCCCCCCCATGTGAGACTCTCCCTAAGGTGGTGGGTTTCCCCAGCACTAGCCAAAGGGTGTGTGTGTGTTCAGGGAGCCAGAAAGACTTACTATGAACATGGATGCGAGCCTTTATGACTGGGGAGCATTTCTGGGGACACAGCTATCCCAGGGTCGCTGGTCCCCTCTGAATCTTACACATAACATAAACTGGCTGGAACTGCATGCGGCTCATCTGGCCCTTCGACACTTTCAGGCCCTTGTAGAGCAAAGACACATCCTACTTTTGACGGACAACATGGCCACGAAGGCACATGTAAACAGGCTAGGAGGGCAGAGCCCTCTGGGTGAAATCTCAGCACCAGAGCCATTGGGCAGAGAGGCACCTGTTGTCCATCAAGGCGGAGCACATATCCAGAGACGCCAATCACCAAGTGGACTGGCTAAGCAGGGCCACGGTGGACCAGACGGAGTGGTAGCTGGACACGGAACTGTTCGAAGAGATTTGCAGGAGATTCGGACGGCCAGTGGTGGACCTCTTTGCGTCCCCACAAAACTCCCAGCTCCCCAGGTTTTTCACGCGGTTTCCGACTCAGGGAGCGGAGGGGAGCAGTGCTTTATGCAGCAGGTGGCCCCGGGGTCTGCTTTACGCGTTTCTCCCACTTCCACTGATTCCAGGGGCGTTGGGGAAGATAGTGAAGGAAAGGACGGAGGTAATCATGGTCACCCCGTACTGGCCACCCAGACCTTGGTTCGCGGACCTCTTAGGTCTGTCCATTGTCAAACCCTGGAGGATCCCACAGATATCCCTCTGCCAGGGGGTCCTGGTCCATCCAGAGCCTCAATGGCTTCAGTTGACCGCCTGGTATTTGAGAGGGAGATCTTGAGAGAGGCAAGGTTCTCCTCGCGGGTGATACAAACCATCGTGACCTCCAGGCGCCCAGCCACGACCAGGATTTACAACGCCACGTGGTCCACTTTCTGTACTTGGTGCCGTAAGGCGCATGTGGATCCCAAACGTCCCTTACTCCCTATTTGTACCCCCTTCCCACCTTTGGTTGTTAGCCGCCCCGAGTCCCTCGGGAGTGGGGCGGCATACAAATTAAATAAACATTCCAAACATTCCAACATTCCCTAATATCCTGGAATTCCTCCAGGATGGGCAGGAGAGGGGGTTGGCCCATAACATGCTTCGGAGACGAGTCTCGGCCCTGTCGACTGTCCTGGTCTTGGACAGCCGGGAGAGCCTGGGCTGTCATCCGGTGGTGAAGAGGTTTCTACGGGGGGCGGCTAACCTCCAGCCCCTGGTAGTTCACAGGTTCCCATCTTGGGATTTGTCCACGGTCCTCTTGGCCCTAGTGGATCCCCCCCTTTGAACCACTGAGGACCTTTTCCTTGCAGTTCGTTACCCTAAAGGTGGTCTTCTTAGTCGCCATCACGTCGGCTAGGAGAATCTCAGAGCTGAGTGCCCTCTCTGTCAGGGAGGACCTTTGTATTTTCCAGCCTAACCCGGTCGTGCTGAGGCTTGATCCCGCTTTTATCCCCAAGATAAATTCCTATTTTCATAGGGCCCAGAAGCTAATTCTCCTGGATTTCTGCCCTAACCCCGCTCACAGGAAAGAGAAATCGTGGCACAAGCTGGATGTGCGGAGAGCTCTCTGTATTTACATAGAGAGAACGGCGCCCTCCAGGAAAACGGAGGCATTTTTTGTTTCTTTCCAGCCTTCTGCCATGGGGTCATGGGTGTCCCCCTCTACTATTGGGCGCTGGTTGAGGGCTTGTATTGCCTGGGCCTATGAGGCGAGAGGTAAGGTGGTACTACAGGGGATAATGGCACATTTGATTAGGAGTGCGGCCACTATGGCCATGTGGAACACTCAGGCCCCAATTGGGGATATTTGTAGAGCTGTGACATGGGTTTCCCCTTCACCTTTTATTAAGCATTATAGATTGGATGCTTTTGCATCTGCAGAAGGCATCATTTGGTTGTCGGGTGCTGCAGGGAGTACATGCTCCCTCGGGTGCCACGGACCAGTGAGTTCCCACCCTAGGGACTGCCGCTTTGGTATGTCCCATTCCTGGACCCTCCTGCACCATCAGCTGGAGAAGGAACATTGGTCCTACTTGAACGTTCTTCTCAGCGTGGCGCAGGACGATCCAGGTCCCACCCTAATTTGTTGTTTTGTTAGGTTCATGTCCCCAGGGGCTATTAATGTTCCGGTCAGGGCCTGCTCTTCTTTTGTTTCTCTAGTTGGAGCTGCGCCTCGTTGGAATTGGATATCAGCAGGGGAAGCGGGAGGCGTGGCTTCAATTCTGACTCAGTCTCTTGGGCAAATAAGGATTGAACAACCCATTCCTGGACCATCCTGCGCCATGCTGAGAAGAACGTTCAGGTAGGACCAACGTTCCTTTTCTGACAGAACATCCAACCAATGGAACAGAAGTTGCCTTCAGAAGTTGTGGGAGCTTCATCCCTGGAGGCTTTCAAGAAGAGATTCGACTGCCATTTGTCAGAAATGGTGTAGGATCTCCTGCCTGGGCAGGGGGTTAGACAATATGACTTACAAAGTCCCTTCCAATTCTGTAAATCTGTTAAAGGGGTATGTCAGGAAGTATAAGAATTGGTCCTGCTGACACCTGACAACCAGACAGTCAGTGAGACTAACTACCCAGTTGCTGCAATGCTTCAGCTTTTGGAGAATCTCTGAAGCCTGGACGGACCCTTCTAGTAGGCCTGACAGCCCTGTGAAGGTCTTGGTTCACAATCAGTGGCAACTGGATTAGGAAGTGGTTAAACGACAACCAATGTCTCCATGTGACATCTCTGTATCCTGATCACTATTGCTCAGAGCAACAATGAGATCTAGTATGTGTTTTCCTGCATCTGGTGAGCCAGAGATTAATGAGGAGAAGCCTTGGAGGCCATCAACTTCCTGCCTTTTCCTGATGAATTCCCTCATCAACTCTGAGATCAGATCAGAAAAGGAACCAGCTGGGCAGCAGGATGGCTGCCCCTCCCCAGATGGACATTATGCTGGACTCGCAGAAAGACTTTGAACAGATTTGTTGCAACCATTATCTTAAGTAGCTCAGAATGCAGCTACTTGTGGGACCACCTTTTTCCAACTGTCTTTGCCCATTCCATAAGATCCAAGGTGATTGATATGCTTTGGATCCCATCTATCAAGCAGTGATATTTATAGGTCCCAGAAGACAGGCCTTCTCTGTCCCCATGTCTACCCTCCCAAGGCCCATAGAGCCTGATCTTGCTGCTCTCTAAGAGGACCTGGCTTTTCCCACCAGTGGGGGTTAGGACATTGTGTGCATCTGCCACGAGTTTCCATTAACAGGTCTCATTTCTTCCCATCTGGCACAACGCCCTGTCAAGACCCATTGGAGCTGGCCGTGAAGAAAGGAGGAGAAGCACGGCTAAAACTTGCCACCTACTCCCAATAGCTGAAACCAGCTAATAGGACCCTCTGCCCAGTGGTACTGAAAACCGTTGAAAGGTGAAGGTTCACAAGATGGATGCGCCACCGCCATGCCAGCTCCACCATTGTTCATCAACAAACACAACCAGTGCCTTCTCTGCACTGAACCACAGCTTGAAGCCCAACTGAAGCAGGACTGTCTAATCCACTTTCTTCAGGGTCTTCAGGAGCTGCAGTCTAAGCACCCTCTCCCTAAAGGGGAGGGTGGAGTCTAGCGAGATCCCATCCTCTGAAGAAGGGGAACTAGCATAGCCCCTTCAGGGCAGGGAGAGCCTCTTTCTGCAGAGAATCGGACAGCCCTGCACAGTTTCCATTCCCTCCTCTTTTTCCTCCAGAGCTTCTGCTGGCTGCCATTTCTTCCTTGTTAAAATTGTTCTCCTTTCCTCCTCTTGGCCTTTGCTAACCGTAACCCTAACCCATTTGCACCTCTTACTGTGGCTATGTGTGCTACATATTTGTTAAAGCATCCTACTTTCCTGAACACCCAAATGAGATCTTTGCTTACTTTAACCGTACGTTCCTTAACCTAAACATTTGTTTCTGTTCTAGGTGCGGGTTCTGCAAAAAGAGCTTTTAGCCTCCACCACAGAAGACACCCATCCTTATAAAGAGGAGCTGGAGACCGCCCTGGAGCAGTGTTTTTATTGCCTGTACGGCTTCCCAAGCAAAAAGAGCAAAGCCCGGTACTTGGAAGAGCATTCTACCCAGCAGGTGAGGTTGTCTGGTGCTCAGGAGCAGAGAAGCCTCTTGGCCAAGGATCCCTCCAGCATCGTCCTCTTTCTGACAGTGGCCAGCCACAGTTTCTAGGACACCTGCCTGATGCCCATCATTTTTTCCTAAATTGTGTCTCAAAATGTAACCAAAAAGGTTTAATCACAAATAGTGAAAAAAAAGCTAATGATATTGTCAATAAAAGTAAACTTAGAGCAGCTCTATCTGTTCAGGACGTTGAAAGGTCATTGCACAGCAGTTCCTCAGAATCCTACAAGGTAAGAAATCATACAGGTTGTGAAATCCAACCGTCAACCTGGTGCTCAGTGCAGGAACCGGTGGTGGGTTGCAAAATTTTTTAGAAACTCTTCTGTAGGTGTGGCCTGCTTTGTGGGAGTGCCTTGCTAGCCATGTGACTGGGTGGGAGTGGCCAACTTGTAAAATGTGGTGAAACTCATTTAACAATGCTCTTGCTTAGCAACCAAAATATTGGCTTAGAAACTCTGGCATTTGAAGCACGCAAGTCTTAAAGCTGTCAAGTTACAAGACCCTTGCATCCCTAACCCTTTAGAAAAAAAACCAGGGGTGTTCAAACTTGACAGCTTTAAGACTTGTGGACTTCAACTCCCAGAATTCCTCCTCTCGTCTTCATCTTGATGATGTGCGGACGGACAGGGGAAGTGAGCGGGAACTGGTTCTAAGCGGCACTGTAGATTTGTGGAACCTCTTCTATAGAAGAGGTTAGAACTGACAGGAACCCACTTCTGATATGACCCCAGGACACTGCAATTGTCATAGATATAAGCCAGTTGCCAAGCAGCTGAATTTTGATCACTTGACTATGGGGATGCTGCAATGGTCTTAAATGTGAAAATAAAAACAAAGATATAAAATGGTTAGTATGTGTAAGGTAAGAATAATAATGTTTAATATTGATATATTATTACTAGAAGATAGTAAGAAGAATAATGGAGAGTTTTATCATGTTTAAATGCTTAATATATTATAATATTAAACTTAGGGAAATAATGTTAATATGAACATGAAACATGTGGCAAAAGACGAACGATATTGCACAGAGATGTTTATACGCAGATGACATAGTGCTTAAGGAAAGATGTTTATTTTTGTAATTGAAAAACAATAAAAATCTTTTTTAAAAATGTGAAAAAGGTTATAAATAACTTTTTTCAGTTATGTTGTTACTAAGTGAACTGTTGTAAGTCGAGAACTACCTGTATCAACACTTTGTGTGATTTTGATTCTATTCCTCTGTT